AAAGTGAAATTGTTCTTCTTACCAGTGTCAATGTGGCTGTTCTTGGTTTTGTGCTCATCTGGAGTACTACAATCTCATAACTGGATTCTAGATTTCTCATAAAGGTATTTTGGTCTGTTTATCCTTGTTACATCAGTGTTTCTGTGGGGCAACAAGAGCTGGACTTTGCTATTCGACCATGTTGCTGATATTACTCCCCTCCATAGTTCAATTTTGACACTAACAATTCATTTGATCACAAACTACTGCTTTCTATTCTTTTTATTTTAACCACAACCATATATTTCTACTGTTAAATACAGTAATTCTTCAGCCATGTCAGGGTCTTTCACACCTCTGCTGTCTACCCAGAACATCTTTTTTTACTTTCTGGATCAGTTAGGGTTTATTAAAAACTAGAAACACATATTAAAGGCCTTTTGTTAGAAGAACAGTTAAAAACACAGACTGTCATACTTAGGTTTGCATTTCAGCCCTGCCATTCATTAGCTGCTTGACTTTTGGAAAATGACTTATCTGTGCCTGAGTTTATTCATCTGTTAAAATGGGGATGAGTTATTTCTAATTGCATTGCGTTGTCATAAAGATTAAATGAGTTAACCTATGTCAAGTTTTTAACACAATGCCTGGCATACAGTGATTGTTAGATTAAAAAAAGTTAGAGTATAGGTCACAGAGGTCTTGGAGGAACAAACTAGGGCAGTGCTCAGGGTCTTAGTGGCAAGAGTCACAGGCTGTCTCTTTACCACCAAATGACTTTTCTCTTCCTGCTTTCTGTTCCTGTAGTTTTTATATTTCCAAAAGAGAAAATCTGATTGGCTAGGTTTGGGTCAAATGCCCCTCCCTTAGGGCCAGTTTATCGATGAAGTGGTGCTGGGCTGCCTCCTGTATTTTCCATTGACAGACATACTCAGCTCTTACTGCATTTCTGGGGCCTTCCCTGATTGTCTCCATCAGATCCCCTGTGCCTGTCATGCCTTACCCAGATTCTGGTAGGGCCTTGACCACATATTTGTAGTTATTTGTCAATAAGTCTGTCTCTGCTCCTCAGTTGACAAGCTCTCTAGAGTCAGACCCAGGTTCTTGTTATCCTGAACTTTTAGCACAGGGCCTGGCAAAGAATCAGCATTTAGTAAAGATTGAAAATTATCCCCCACATTCAAGTTCCTTTACCCCCTGGCTTGGGTTTTCTATGACTCTGGCTCCCATTGACCTTCTGTACTTTCTAGACAACTAGTGTCAAGCTAAGTGGTAATTAAAACTCCAGAAATAGCTCCATGGATTCATGGGATTAAGAGAACATACACTGGTTGGGTAGGATGTTTTTTAGCTGCCTTTAGGCAGCCGAAGAGATAACTTGGTCCAATAAAATGGTTATGTTAGAAATAGAAGGGGGATAACAAAGGTAACAAAGGTTGGGAAATTGAATAACAGCAGTACTAGAATTTGAACAGGAAGGGAATCACAAAAGTTGTCCTTTTGTCTATTTTGCTTTCATCTAACCCAGTAGTTCTCAACTAGGGGTGATTTTGCTTCCCGGGGGACATTTAGCAATATCTGGATACATTTTTAGTTGTCAAAACTGGAGAGGAGGTATGTGCTTCTGGTCTCTAGTAAGTAGAGGCCACGTATGCTGCCAACATTCTGCTGTACCCAGTTTGGCCCCTCACAACAAAGAATTACCCAGCCCCAAATGCCAGTAGTGCTGAGACTGAGAAACTCTGATCAGACCCCTAGCCTCCCACCTCAACATTTCTCCAAAGGGAAAATAGGGGCCATGTGGCTGATATATCAAGATTAATTAGCCACAATTTCCTGAAAACCCATGAATGGTGCAGTTGCCTGAATTTGATACTCTGAGGACTATAAAAAAAGAAGTTTGTGTTTCATATTCTTCCTAGAGCAGTTAAGAACACAAGTCTTGTACATCCATAGGAAGGCAGTAAATGGTGGACCCTAAATGAGTGCTTTCCAGAGGAAGGAGAAAGGAAGATGGTGTCTTGGGCTAGAGTGGTAAAGGTTTTGGAAGCAGAGTGACTCATAGCATTTGGAAAGAGAGTTGACTCGAAGAGATGGGTTAGGTAGGAGAGTGGCAGGAAATTTGGCTTATTGTTTTTCCACATGCTATACTTTAATCATTATTTTATTTTAAGTGATGGCCTGTGGGGGAGAGGGTGTGTTAAATCCAGAGTATCTTCCTGGGTTTGAAACTCAAGGAAGAAAACATTTAACATATAAACTCTTGATGTTTTGACCCTTTGGTTTCTTCTCTTCTTGATCTATATTTACCATCTTATAGATAGATAACCCCAGATTTGCATCTCCAGTTATTAGTGTGCTCCTGAACTCTAGACCTAAGTCTCTATGGGTTGTGTATCGTCACTGTACATCTCAGAAGTGTCTCAAGTTCTGTAATTCTGGAAGTCAGCTTATTATTCTTAACTCATACTTTTCTACTGACAAGCTCCTTCTCCTGTCTTCCTCATCTATGTTTATTTCTTCATTTAGTCGGCAAACATTTACCAAGCACGTGGGTATGTAGGACAAAGACAAATAAGACACAGTCCTTGCCAGAGGATTCTGTGTAATGAGTAAGGTAGACACCTAAATTGGCAATTAAATATTAATATATCATAAAAACTAGCGTGATAGAGTTTGATCTGGGATATTTGGAAATAGCAGTGAGATGTGCCAGGATGCCAGCCTGGCAGAGAGGAGGGTCGAGGGATGTCAGGCAGTGCTGCTCAGAGGGGCAGGGGCCTGAGCTGCTCTTAAAGGAGGGATAGATGGGAGTTCGCCATGGGAAGGTAAGCAGGGAAGAACATTCCAAGTGGAAGGCACTCTCTATGCAAGGCTGGAGGAAAGCAATGGCAAGCATGTGCAGGGAACAGCGGCAGTTTGGACTGCTGAAGCACAAGTTAACAGTGTGAGGAGTGGGGCAAGAGAAGATCAGAGAGGGGATCACCACCCCGGCTTCCAGCTTCCTCATCTGTGGCCCCTTCTGTCCTGTTGCATACTCTTAAAGCCATCAGTCACCAGTTTCATAAGAGTTGCCTCCCCATTTTCTCCAGGACCTGTTACATTCTTCCCATCCCCTAGAATGTCCACAATTCTTCTATTCTGCCAGAGTCCCCTTCCTCCCTGACCCATCTATCTGTCCCTGCCCATAAACCTCCCAGTTGATCTCAAGCATTTGCCTTTACAGTGTCATTACTAAGGGCTTTCTTCTGGGTACATTTGCCCCTGATGTAAGAATTACTGCTCGGGGCCTTCATCTCACTAGTTATTCACCATTAGGCAAACAGTGAGCATTTTTAGGGCTCCATTCAAATGTTCTTCCCTTTTCCCATCTTTTCCACCTATTCAAATTCTCCTTCTCCTAAAGGGTACTGTCTACTTTCTTTTCTCTGCAATAAGACAGTACTTTGCATGTGTTTTATTTTTTCCTATACAGTGATATATAGCATATGCCCTGAGAGTCAGATTGACATGAGTTCAGAGGTTATCTGTGTCATTTCTTAGTGGTGTCACTCTGTGCAAGTGATTTCAACTAATTTTGATCTTTTCTTTCTTTATTTGTGCTAAACTATGTTGGCATACTGTGTAACATTAGCTCTGGGTGGTAGAATTAGGCTTGCAGTTCTTTTTTTTTTTATTTGAGACAAGGTCTCACTCTGTTGCCCAGGCTAGAGTGCAGTGGCATCATAGCTCACTATAGCCTCAAACTCTCGGGCTCAACCGATCTTCCTCATAGTTCTTTTAACCCAGAGTATTGATAGCTAGAGAATTTTAATTGGTTATAAAACTACAGTGGTTGGCCAGGCCTTATAGAAATTCTAGCATAATGATTAAAAAGCTCTGGAGCCTGACAACTTGGGTTCTGATACTGTCTCTGCTACTTCCTTGGCTGTGTGTTCTTAGAAAAGTTACTCAACTTCTCTGAGCCTGTTTACTCATCTTTATTATGAAAATGATGATAACTATTATTACCCATAGAATTTTAATGGGAATTAAGTACGTTAAAGTTTATGAAACATTTGTCTTGTGTAAGATATACAGCAATAGCTAACATTTATTGAATATGTACACTTATTATGATAGCCACCTGGCCCGAATGATGTGTGGATTGATGCCTATTTGCAAACCTGATTTTCTTAACTTTTTCCTTTGGAATCCTTAAAGATATTTCGTTCTGTGGCACCTAACTAGCCCTACCACAACCTTGTCTTCAAGTTTTTGGAAACTGACTTTTCTTTGTTTCCCAGACAGTTCCTAGAAGTGATGGCGAGTTCTGTGACTGGTTGTCTTCACCACATCTCTTCTGAACACCTGTTGAGTGTGGTGTTTTCGTTTTGCTTGATGAATCATTTTCCCCTGGCCCTTGTTAATCAGGTTCTCCAGAAGGACGTCATAAGTGAGCTGCTGGCATCAGGTAGGATGGCAGTGCATAATGGTGACCGAAATAAGGCACGACCACTAGCTGCCTTGTGATTCCGGATGGGGCTTAGTTGGGGCAGTGTTGGCTAAAATTTGCAGAATAGATATTGCTTAGGAAAGGACTGATAATGGTGAAGTCAAAGGTCGTTGATCAGAGGTGTTTGCATTTCCTAATCCTTACACGTCACATTTGAAGTCATCTAAGTTAACTTTTGCAGCTGTAAACACTTCTCACTCATGGCCTGTAATGGGGAATGCTGGTTAGAGCAAGAAAACAAGTAGCTACCAAATTAGCTAGTTTATTTAGTCGTAGAACCAAATTAACTGTTGACTTGTAGTCTTTTGTATTAAACAAGGAAAAGCAACATTCAGATAGATGTACAGAATTTGATGCTGTATCTGACAATGGCGTAGTTCAAATTCTTTTAAAATCATTGTTATAAAATCCCAAAATTGAGTTGTGAAGAATCAATACTGTGTGCTTATTTTTCAGGCAGTATTATCATGAGGAAACAGCCTTGGACCCAGAAAACCTGAATTCTAGTCCCAACTTTGCCTTTAATTAACATTCCTGGGTATATCCTCTTCTATAAATTGAGGAGTTTAGACTAAATGAACTCTAGAGATACTTTAAACCTTAAAACATTATCAAGTACAGGGCTTTGATCTTAGACCCTGGAAACTAGGGAGACATAGACATTCCTTTTGGTAAGAAAGAGAGAAATATAGGTGCATTAATACAGTTTTTAAAATGTGGCATTAATGTTTTTACTAAATGATATATTTTCTTCCCTTTTTGTTTTATTTTTTAGATGACAAGGAGAGGAATGTTCACAAGCTTCACATTTTGAATACTTGTCTAAAACTTGATGATACTTTTTCTTACAAGGCCATAGACTTATTACTGCCACAAATGCCATCGGCACCATTAGATCCAAACACAAAGGTTGCAGAGGTGCTAAGTAGCCTTCTGGGAGGTGAAGAATACTTCTCAAAAAATGTACAGTTGCCGCATAATTATCATATTGGTATGGGACTTTATTTATTTTCCTTTTTTTCTGACAAAAGATTAGAAGTTTGCGGCAGCAGTTTAGTGTAGTATAGCAGTGCCTCTGGAGTTAGATTGCTTGGGTCTGGAATCTTGTCCTATGACTTACTACTGCTGTAACTTTAGGCATTTACCAGCCTCACTTTCTTTATCTGTAAAATGATGATAATAAAAATACCCACCTTATAAAGTTCTTGTAACCAATAAATGAAATTATGCATGTAAAGTTCTTAGACTAACATGTGGCACACAGTAAGCTCTCAATATATTTTTAGCTACTTCTGTTATCAGTAGTGGTTTTAGACATTTTGGCACAGAAAATAACTTTGAGCAATGTTTGAAAAATTAATATTAATTTTTTTCTTCCAGATTTTGAAATTAGAATGGATACTAACAGGAGTCAAGTGCTTCCATTTTCTGACATGGGTGTAACTTCTGCTACGAATATTCAAAGGTTGCTTACATATACTCATTTGCTGGGCTTTTCAAATTTAAATCTTAATTCTAAAAGACTTCATATTAAATAGTAATAATAATAAGACCTTATGTTTGTACAGAGCTTGCAGTGTACTAAGACTTCTTATCCATAAATCTGTCTACTCCTTAGGTGTAAATGTGGGCCTTAAGGTTGAATATAATCATATTCAGTTCAGTCATGGAGTTGGGCCATTTAATGAAAGAGACATTTTTTAAAAATTAGGTTTTGAAACTAAACAGTTCAATAGCATAGAATTGACATAACTGAAACTATCAATGCAGTGTAAAGTTTTGACAAGATTATATAATAGTGATCGTAAAGACTTGAGGCTTTTACAAAAATCAAATACCCAGTAAATATTTTGTTCTACCACCAAGACTTTTCCAGGGATAGAGAAACCTTAGCTTTTTAATTAAGCTGTATCTGTATGGATCAGAGCACACTGAAGCTAATGCAAAGTTGTTTTCTTGGTCATACATTACAAAAATGGTGTCTCTGGGAGAAATACGATGATGCCACACCATGAGAGAATGCCCTGCCTCTCTAGTCGATGCCTAAGATCATGTAATCACCACACAGACACCTGCATTTGGTCAGCCTTTGTGGAAAGGCTCTGTGAGGCACACAGAGATGGGTGACACATGGATCCTGACCCCAAGGAACTTGTGTCTCCTGTTACTCTATTGGACACTAACATAAATGTGATAAAGAGAGATACAGATTCAAACTGTAGGGATTCAAACTCTTATTTGCCCATCCCTCTCCATTCACATATAGTTCTGTCACTTTTACCCCTTTCTGAATCCATTGAGCTGATTCCATGGCCCTCTTTTTCAACTGCTGTCTTTCCTATCCATGTTACCCATCACCATTCAAAAAAGGCTTTTTCTCTGACCCCATTCAATGATCATTTTTCTTTTCTGGGTACTCCATTGTTCTGGCATAATAAAATAACATAATAGTTATCAGCATAAAGTACTAAGAAGTGAAGAGTCTGAGCTTGCCTTTAAAAATATAAAATTTCTCTTGTTTTATAATAGCCAAAGTATAGGAGAAGACAGAATATAAATGTCTTTTTTTTTTTTTTCTCAATGAACTTAATTATTTCCAAAGTGTCAGGAACAATGAAGAAGCAAATTACACCTTCCACATTTTTGTTACATTTATACACATTTTATCTTTGTAACAGTCTTGCCTTTTTCTTAGGGTTTTCTTCTTTGTGTTTGATCTACCAGTTCTGGTTTCTAAATGCTCCTCTCTCTGGGAGACAATATATATAAAAAGAGCTCTCACCATTTGGTGTTATCTACACCAGTACTTCTCCTGGTAGTGTGAATAATAGTACTCAGATCAGAAATCAGCACCACACAGGCAACCCTTAAAGTGTGTGCTTTCATATCTGAAAATTTTCCTCATTAAAAATGTAGCCATCCCTTAAATATGAGAGAGAACTTTGTGCCAAGCATTTTATTATGTGCTTTTGGTTTATAAGGTGGCTTTACATACTCACATGTCTGCAGAGGCCAAGTCATAGGAGTGGAGGGCTAGCTGTTGGGAATGGTGAGGACTGTTGTCAGTAGAGAGCTCAACTTTGAAATCTCCAAAGAGTAGGAATGCAACAAGATGTAAATGGTAATGTCAGTAACTGTTCTTGTTCTGTTTATTTTTGTTCTCAGAGTAGCTGTGCTGTGTGTTCCTAGATCTGTTTATTGTTTGGGCTCAAACCACCCGAGAGGACTCTTTGCTATGAAAATGCGGCATTTGAATGTAATGGGTTTTCATGTGATCTTGGTAAGAAAAAAATGCAAATGAAATATTCTTCAATTACTGATGCACATTCTAACAGCTGCCAGGAATCTTGTGGTTGAAGTTGGCTACTGGGACTCTAGAGGAATTGCCAGCATTATTAGAATAAGTGTTTTAGTTATTGTTTTCTTTGAGAAAGAACATTTCTGGTACATGATTTGGCTTCTGCTTAGCTGATTACTGTCATTTACCAGGGGTTTTATAAATATTATTTTGGTCAGCTTTAGTCCTTGTTTACTAAGAGGAAGAATATAAATAATATTTTTTTAATTTAATTTAAGACACACAAAACCATATTCAGTTTCCAGGTTATCTTGAACAAGAGAAGCAAAGATGTTAAAGCTTTGTTTTCCTGGCCAGTGTGAGGCTGTTAGAGGATGTTTATCACCAGAGGGAGCTGAACAGTCGGGAGAGGATGGGCCTTCCCTCTCGTGCTGCGCCTTCGATTCTCTGCACCACAGCTTTTCTTGAACAGCCTCTTCAGATGTCTCTGTGTATCTAGAACCTTACAAATAAATGTGTATGTGTGTTAATGTTGGAATCTATCTAAATGCCACTCATTTGGTCCTGCAGATAATGTGAAGTGTAAGCATTCCAATGTTCCATTATGGTACTTTAGTATCCAGAAATGGATTACGCATGGGTTACTGATATTCAGTTGGCCCCTTTCTCTTAGTGGGGTGCTATTTAAGACTTTGTTTTTCACATTGGTGATTATATATATTCTAAGGAACATTTTCTCAAGAAAGTAATTTTTGCAACATTTAGACGACCTTAAAATTTTTCATACTTTTCACTGTTAGAGCTTTCTTCGACCCTGGTACATAGTCTTATTTGGCCTTTAAAATATGAGTAATTATAAGGTAACATTTGTTTTTAACAGGCAGTTGACTTTATGTTACTCTAGTGAGTCTGGATCTCTAAACTAGCTTTTTTTTTTATGTATCATTGTCTCACAACTATTTTCCTTTCTTTGGTAAGGTCAATAACTGGGAGATGGAGCAACTAGAGATGGAGGATGCAGTCACATATTTGAAGAGTAAAATCTATTCACTTGAAGACCTTCCTGCTGGTGATATAAATTTGCAAAGTACATATTAAAGTAGAAATCAATCTTTTCACATTAGGAGACATGTATTTGTAAAAATAATTTCAATAAAGGCTATAATTAATTCAGTTGTCAATGCAAGTAACCTGGCTGCTCACTATGACAAAAAATGTTACTTCAGTTCACTGTTAAAATTCATTTTTAGAATGGAAGAAGTGTTTTTACTGGCATTTTAGACTATGCTGAGAAAATTCCAGAAGGGACATTTTTCCAACCACACCTATTCCCTCTAGTGTCCATATATTTTAGAAATTCACGAGCTGTAGATTTCACTTCTTCTCATTAACTTTAAGGCATTAAAAACTTGTTTCTTAATTGTGATGGGTCACAGGCAAGTTGATGTGGGCAGTCGTTGTGTTTGGAATCTGAATATTTATACTTCTGCCATAGCTGCCCTAAGGCTTGGGGTTATACCTTTAAATCATTTTCAAGCATTGACCAGATAGCAACTGGAGCATGTTCTGAAATTGTCAAGTGTGTAGGAATTAGTGAGGTAGCATGTTAAAAATGGGTGAGAATAACACTGGCATTTGTAACAAGCACGCCCCTGGTAGTGGTGTTTTATGGGCCATAAGAGAAACAGTGAGATAATACATGGATGGCAAGGAGTTCAAATTTATTAACACTGATAGGCTGTGAGTTGCCGACATGATAACTTGCTGTTGTTGAGGTCATTCCTTTCTTCTACTTTCTTCCCCTTTTTTCCTCCCACCATTTCATGAAATTTTAAAAATTAAATATATAGCTGAGCTGTGTTGTAAATCAGACCAGAGGACTGTTTTTTCAGGTATATTTGTTCATTCTTTGTTCAAATATTTGTCCAGGTTCAAACATTTTGTTCAATATACCTGTCTACCTAGTATTTGACTCACTGGGGATCCAGTGATGAATAGGCCTGAACTCTTGTGGCAGTTTCCACATGGGTCCCATGCCAGTTAGTACTGTTCTACCCCTAGGTACACAGATGTGCAATTACTAAACATCTTACTACGTGCCAGATACTGCTAATTATGCATAGGTATTCTCTCTTTTCATTATCTTAACAACCCTTTGAGCTGTAGTTCCTATTATGTTTCTCTCTGAGCCTTCATTTCCTCATCTCTAAGATGAGGATAAGTTATTTGCCCACAGCTGCCCTGAGGAGGTCTGGGCTAGAGTTAGAATATGAGTTGGCATAGGCTTATATGACAAGTAGTTGAGGATTCCCAGGTTGGCAAGACAAAAACTGCAAAAATATGGCAAGAGTTCTCAGGTTTTATCAACCTATCCAGCCTGCATTTAGAAAAGGTTAGAGGTGAAAGGAAATTTAGTGATCATTTAATACATCTTCCTCATTTTAAGGATGAGGAAGTTAAGGCCAAAAGAATTTTAATTTTCTGAAGTCTCAGCCATGCCATTGGTTCCCATATCATGTCATCATCATTTCATCCTCTACTGCTCTTCAGCTGTGTCCCAGCAGATCTGGCTTCTTGCTCCAGACTAGATATCATCTAGTTTTGTTCACTTGGCCAAGTGATTTAACCTTTATAAGCTTCAGAACAAGATGAAAATATTGTTATTAAAGAAACTAAAGTTTGTTCTTTAAATGCTAAATGTGTATCAATTTCTTCTGGTGGCTAATTATGACTCATATTCAAAGAACTGGACAAATTCATGAATACTTACACCTAGCTTTGGGGGCAGTAATTGTCTTGAGTTTGTACCAGCTGGCATGGTGGTAAAAAGGCACTCCTCTTTCCTAGCAGGACTGAGGTTGCCGTTCTCCATTGCTTTGTGGCGATGAAGAAAAAAAGACAAAGAGCGATCAAATTTCAGTCTACTAGTAAAGATGTGCACATTCAAGCAAATGAGATATTTTTACCCTTCAGATTAGCAGTTTTTTTTTTTTCTTCGAGAATTACAGTGCTGACTAAGGTGTAAAGAAGCAAGCACTTGTATATGCTACTGGTAGAATGTAAATGAATACCTTTCTGGAATATGCTTTGTGGTTTTTTTTGTCCTGTAACTTAAGAAATAGCTTTATTAAAGTATAATTGACATACAATAAACTGCATACATTTAAAGCACACAATTTGGTAAGTTTTGACTTATATATACACACACCCCTATGAAGCCATTGCCATTAGAAAAGGTTGCCATTATCAAGATAATGAACATATCCACCACCTCTAAAAGGTTCCTCTGTCTTTGCCTTTCCCTCTGTCCCCTGGAAACCATGGATCTATGGCAGCAGTCCCCAACATTTTTGGCACCAGAACCCATTTCATGGAAGACAATTTTTCCACAGACCAGGGTGGGAGGGGAATGGTTTTGGGATGATTCAAGCACATTACATTTGTTGTGCAGTCAAACTTCTCTGCTAATGATGATCTGTATTTGCAGCTGCTCCCCAGCACTAGCATCACCACCTCAGCTCCACCTCAGATCAGCGGGCATTAGATTCTCATAAGGAACATGCAGCCTAGATCCCTGCATGTGCAGTTTACAGTAGGGTTCATGCTCCTATGAGCATATCTAATGCTACTGCTGATCTGACAGGAGGTGGAGCTTATGTGGTGATGCGAGTGATGGGAACAGCTGTAAATATATATGAAGCTTCGCTGGCTTGCCACCGCTCACCTCCTGCTGTGCAGCCTGGTTCATAACAGGCCACAGACTGTACTGGTCTGTGGCCCAGGGGTTGGGAACTGCAGATCTATGGCCTACATAGGACATGATGGTGTCTACAGCACTAGCTGCAGAGCATTTGGAGTGTCTATTTGGAGCTTGGCAGGAAAAAATATTTATATAACATAAGAAATTAGTAAAACCCAAAGTATTAGGAAGATATTAAATGTTAATTTTAGCCAGGCATAGTGGTAGTGTGCACCTATAGTCCTAGCTACTTGGGAAGCTGACGCAGGAGGATTCCTTGAGCCTAGAAATTGGAGACCAGCCTCAGTGATACAGCAAGACTCCATCTAAAAAAAAAGTAGTTAATTTTATGTGAAAATTCAAAATTATCATTTTTTCCCAGAATCCTTAATGGGAAGCTTACTCTTACTTTCTAGACATAACTATTAAATATCAAGTTGTATGCTTGAATGGCCATTCTTAAGACATTTTAATAAATTCTTCAAATTCTTGGTAGTTACCATTGACAAGAAAGTTTGTTGATAACAAATAGCCGATGAAACAATTTAAAACTATTTTTAAAAAAACATTCAAAAATTGAAAGTTACATGTATAGCCTAACTGCTCTTCTTTTTCTATCATTGCCAAAATGTGATATTGCTAGTTTTTGGTGATAACACAAATGGATCTCAAGTGTGTAATAGAATATTTTCATACCAAGTATTTCTAAATATTGATGAAGTTCCAATTTATAGATTGTGTTTGTGTCGTTTGTCACCCTGCGACCAGCTTGGGCATCTCTAAACAAATAGAAGTATTTGGGGCATATACCTGGAGCTGTACCTGTGAGGAGCTGGCATTCCCCAAACCCCAACTGACTGACTTTCCCATGAAATTATTCAGCAGCTAGAGGGTACCTTGTCCATGATGGTCAGTGGCCCACTCGGCAGCAGACTTCTTGTGTAGCTTTCTGGGTGACTGGACGTGATCTTGGCTTCAACAGAACACATTCCAGCAGAGCAGTGAGTGCCAGAGGCCTGTCATGTTCTTTATTCATGGGGACTGAGAGGAAGAACATCAGACCCCCCTGTTTGGGCTACCTTCTAGGTGAGGAGCTTACTGGCCAAGAGGGCTGTGACTCCTCAGAAGGCTGAGGAGTTAGATATGTCTTCACTCACTTGTTACCTATTTGTGCATATGGGTATGCTGTGGCTCACTGGTGTGCCCAGGAAAAGCTGAAATCTCCATTTCCCAGGGTCCGTTATAGCTTGAAGTCCACAAGTGACTTAGCTTCCTCCATGTAGATGTGCCTTGAAATAGGAAAGGCCAAATGATACAGAGACCATATTTCTGCCAACATAGCCACAGAGCATTTGGTTTTTCTGGAATGTCAATAACAGAGATCCCAGGGTGTGGTGTGGCAGGATATGGAGCCGTTGTGCTGGTGGGGTTGGCTAAGGTAATGTGGCTCTGGAACCAGCAATTGGGCAGCATCTTCGTGATTTCCCAGCTCCCAGGCTCTTCTGGACAGCCAGCTCTGTCTTGGTGCTCTAAGAGTCCTACCAGGAAGTCAGACTAAAGGCTGCCTGTTCCTTCAGCCCTTGCATTCATCTTGTAAGCAGAAGGAGGCATCTGTGAATGGCCAGAATTTAACACCCAAGCACATTGTGTCTAAACTAGATAGTGGTTCCTGTTATCAGCAACTGAATTCTGATTGATAAAGATACTATAATATGTGCATATACATGTTGTAGAGTCAAAAAAATAGTATACCTTTCTTTAAAATTTTCTGAATTTTGTTTTAAAGAATTTCAAGCAGGGTTAGAGACACACATAATGTTACTAAGACGCACTAGGAACACCACGTACCATGAACCGCCAGCTCCTTTTACATGTAGCCTCACCCTCAGCAGGTTTCTCCAGGCAGCAGTGCAGCGCCCAGACAGATGAAAGGGAGAAACCCAACCCACCTGCCTTTATTTGCTACTGTTCTTGCACCCGATTTTGCCTATACTTAGCCACGCTTTCACTGCAACTCTGCCAGTTTCATCTCAGGCAATTTCTTTACGCATCATCCTGAAGAGGGAAAGGACGTTAACATCAAACTCTTGCCCAATTGTCTCAGGAAATCCATTTCTTGTTTTTGCTAAAAAAATATGCAAAACAGAAGGAAGATAGGAAATGTATTAAATATATACATAACACTTTCATCTTGTCATAACTTTTAAGTTAAATTAGACAAAACGCCAATGCTATGGTATTTGGGAACCTTTGAAGTGCTTGGATGTTGCTTGTGCTCATCAGAAAATACTCCTATCTTACTAAATGCTAGTTTTGAAGAAAACCTAGTCTTGGAGAAAATCAATATAAAGATAAATGAAATCAAGGGGCGTAGCCGTCTTCACCAGCTTGAGGTTCAAATGAAGTTCCACCTGCTGCTGTTGTCAGCTGTGGGAAGGGAGTGGGGG